ACAATTATAATGAGCAACCTTTATAGTAATGGTCCTTTTATAACATGGAGGAAGGAAAATATACATACCTGATAGTCCCACCCTTCAGAACCGCACCCCGTAGCGTCCGAGCATTCCATGAACTCCCCGTATATATCGGCGCACTTCAGCGATCCGTGCGTGCCATTGTAGAAAAGAACTGCCATCGAAAGGAGGTCGTCAATATGGAACAATATTAGTTACGAGGGAAAGACCTGAGGGACTGACCAAATTTCAATGAATCAGGTATTTCAAACTGGCGGGTAAGAAGGGGTTTTAATGCATGACGACTGTGGCCCATTTTCTTTATACATGTATGACAATAGTGACAATCTCCTACCAGAAGGACTGTAAAATTAAACTCACTTGCTCCATTTGCAAGCCCATGCAGTGCGTCAGTAGCGTTAGTGATCAGTTCACACGATACCTGCATGTAGATTAGAAGAAAATTTAAGAAGTATTCGCAGGGAAATATTGCACGTGAATCAGAAATATTGCGAAGGTGAAAGCAATAGTATCATTATGAACTATGTATGTACCACTTCCCCTGAAGGTGAATAACTGCAAACAAAAATAGTCTGTGAACCTACTGCGTGGTGTTTCAAGTTGGTATGTCAAGATCTTACATTGACCGGCCATGCCGGCAGATCCCCTTCGAACGAAGCAGGGTAGGGGTAGTTTACAGTAGTCAACGTGGAAAGCGAGTTGCGAATCCACAGCAGTAGATGCAGCACCTGGTCCTGAGACTTGAGCGGCTTGCACAGCCGGAAGGCATTGCTGATTCTATTCAAACCTGATTGGAAAACAGTATATGGTAGATCTGGATCCTTAGCAATCATAAGAGTTTGTTAAAATTATGTGTGATGAAAGAATTAGTTAGCTTAACGATTACAAACCTGCTTAGCGCGCTAAACAGTAAGTTTACGTTTTAGGTTTGCTTTTAAAGTACATCGGATCCGGTTACAGAAAGTCACTAATTCTCTAGGAGATCGGCAAAATAATGACAAAATGACGGGGGCAGACCTGGTTGACCTTGCTGGGCCAAGGAAGCAATCGTGGAAAATCCTTCCTTTATTGTTGGAACACACTTTGGAGAAGCTTCTACAGAATCAAAGACCTGGAAACGAACATATAATGAAACCGAAGGAAGATATGTGCCAATAAGGTTGAGGAGAAAGGGAATTTCTGTTACCTCAGTGGTTCTTAAACATCAAAAAGCAAGGATTACGGAAAATCAATTAAGTTAAATTACAGTATCACTAATATAACACATTCACAGCCACGAGGGACAAATTTTCGGTCGTTTAATGTCGTCGTTTATGGGACATTTCGACCGATGACTTGTTTCATAATTAATATATAGGCTTAACTGATGATTTGATTGTCTACCTCAACAGAGGTTTAGGACTGAGGGCTTCACCTACTTTGGTGACATCTTCGAAGTAGTAAGTCTGGGACCCAATACCGGCAGCTGAGTAGATGGGACCTCCGGAGGAAATAGCTCCCCTCACAACGTTGGGATACTTGAATCGGAGGTAAGCACTCAGCATTGCTCCATAGCTGGAAGATGGAGGGTTGCCATTTTTTTTGCTCAAAAAGTTAAGGTATTTCGGGCTGGCCATTTGTAGATACGGCACTCATAATCACATGTTTTGTTTCTTTATTCGCCACCGTTTATAATTATTAATTTACTTACACAAAAAAGACACTACGGCCAAGTGGTGTCATAATCGCAAATGATCTCATGGACTTGATGCATGGGATATTTGAGAAAGGGGAGACTTGGAGTTTTCCATACAATTGAAAATGGGGAATGTTTTGAACAGTAAGCTCAGCGCTTGCAAGTAAATTCACCGATAGTCGGCTATGGGGTATTTATTGGATCCCGTGCCAGGATTTGAATATAGCCTGTAACATGGAGTAAATTTGGCTGAACACCGAGTTCCTTTTGGACATACCTCCCTCCGAACGCGATGACCGGTGCGTTGTCTGCGTGGAGTTGTTTCTTGACGCCTTGGATCAGTGTAGCATAGTCTGCAAGGACCTGCTCGATGGCCAAGAGGCCAACGTTGTCTGCAGTGTAAGAATGGTTCCCAAAGGGCAGGGATTCCCCGTAGTAACGCTATGTAGGGATTCAATGGCAGTAATCGTGCACAGTTACAGAAAGTAAGCACTAAAAGATGAACATCACATAACTCACTTAATAAAAGTTATATAGGCCCTACTAAAAAATTCTAAAGTAGAGAGTCCTGAGAGCCATGAAATCGAGGAATTGGAGAAACATGGCACAGAACCTCCGGCCCAGACTTTGGGCTTGCAATTATGAGCAATTTGGGTGCAGTCGGGTCCGAAAGTGGCACCATTTGACCGTTTTTCAGAGGGATGGTTTTTCATAATGGCCACTTTTCTGGGCAGGGACATTTTCTTCATTTTAGGCCTAGGGGTGATCCGCTTCTGGTGAAAATTTCTCAAAAATTCATTGGTCAACCCCCCGAAAATTAAAAGGGAAATGAAAGGGGACATGTCGATCATCGTTTTTCTGTGAAGCCTGGACACCTGTGAGAGTTGTGAGTATTTTGTACATATTTGTAAAGTGTGAGGATTTATCATTGCTGTCTATGGGAATTCATTTGTAGTGGTGCAGCCTCGAACTCTCGCAGGTTGCACTACACACCATAATACGCGCCCATAGAAAGCAGTAAAGAATCAGAGCGAAAAAGCCCCGCCTCTTGACTCTCGGACGAGGTTTGTCTCCTTTTTTCACCGGAAATTCAAGATTATGGCCAGAAGATCACTTTTCCTTTGAATTTTACGGGTTTTAGTCACGAGTTGTTTTTATTCGCCTTTCCCCGAAGATACCTCCAAAGTAGTAAAACTATTGGCACAGCTCTGATTGTCGCCGCCCGCCTCTATCCAAATATGCCCTCAAAGAAGGGCTTTTGCGAAAGAAATAACCCGAACTGGAAACTGCCAGTCCCAAATTCGGAATTTATAGAAATGTTTCTGTGATCCCTCCTGATTATGGCATGTCTTATTGTAAGAAACCGGAGGGTCACAAAATAGTCATGAGCTCGCGCGCAAAATACAACTATTTCGCGAAGTGCACCCTCAATAGTATCATGCAGGCCAATTTTTTTCCGGGGGAAAGTGAATTGGGAACCGAACAGTTCTGCTAAATAACATGTTATATTTTGTGGTGAATCTGATACGCGGTTTATTTCTTCAGCTAACTTGCAGTGTAAAGCGAGCCTCTTTACAGCAACTTCCTTATGTACTTGAAAAGTGAGCACTGTTCCTGTCATGTTTAAAACATATTTTTAATATGTTGACTTTAGTTTTCGTATATTCAGTTGTGTCAAATGTTGATGTAAAATATAGCTCAAAATATCCCTTTCTCTAACCCTATCCCCAACAACTGCACTATCCTAAACTATCCTAACCCTAACGCCAACAATTTCCCCACCCTACTGTCTCTAACCCTATCCCTTACCCTATCTCTAACCCTATCTCTAACCCTACCCCTAGCCCCAACCCTATCCCAAAGCATTATCCCTAAAACCATCTCTAACCCTAACAATATCCCTAACCCTACAACTAACCCTAACCCTAACCATTATCCCTAACCCTATCTCTAACCCTATGCCTAACCCTAACCCTAACCGAAAGGCCTATCCCTAACCATTATCCCTAACCCTATCTCTAACCCTAACCCCTAAC